GCCCGCTGGGTCCAGGCGCGTCCGCCAGGTCCGCGGGGTCAGTCGAGCTCGATGGGGCTGCTGTCGTCCTGGCTGTCCTCGCCCTCCTGCTCCGAGGAGCCCATGAGGCTGCTCAGAAGGTTCCCTGGAAGGAGGCGCCGTGGGGTCACAGCTGTGCCACGCCAGCAGCCCCCCGAACCCCCGTTTCCCACGTTCAGGGCTGACCAGACGGCGGCAGCGGGCCCAGGACCCCCACCGCCAGCTTCCCTCCAACGGCCAACGTTCAAGATGCTGCTGGGGCCTTAGCAGGGAGAGACCCAGCTGCCTGTGGAGGGGACGCCGTGCAGCCACCAGGAGGTCCAGGGGCTGTCGGGAAGTGGCGCTGGCAGACCACGTTGCCCGGGGGCCAGCCCATGCGCACGCTAGCTCTCCAAGCAAGGGACACACCGCAGTTGGACGGGCCAAGGGTCAAAGACGACCCAGCTGCATTACCTGCTGTCCCCTGCGGGGACGCTCTTTTTCACTCACCTAACTTCAATGCAAAGAACAACTATCGTGCCAAGACAAAAATCCAAGCGCAAGAAGTGCCCCCAACCAAGGCACAGCGGAGCAGTAAACGGGCGGGTGGCGCCCTCCGGCGTGAAGCCTTCCCAGTCCGCGCCTCGCGGCTCGGGAACCTTTCGAAGGGGCGGGGCGTCAGGCCCGACATGAACACCGTGACCTGACGCTTCAACCCAATTCTCAGACACACTGAAGCGTCACTGCAGTTCTGGGTGGACAGACGGACAGGCGTTGTAGAGGCGCGGACGTGAGGCCTTAGGACACGGGGTCGCTGGGGCAGGGGTCACGGAGCCACAGCTCGGAGAAAGGGCGTGCCCCCAACACCGTCCGCTAGGGCTCCAGACACAGTTCACGGCGGCAGAGGCTGCCGTGCGCTTTGGGGAGAGAGCTCCGGGAGAGGCTGGGCCACGGGGGGGCTCTGTGCAGACCACCCTTGATGGCAGATGAGGACACGTGCTCCCCCTCCCTCCCTGCCCCGAGGGCCGGGGAGGCGGGCCACCCGGGCAGGGACGTGGACGCACACGGAACACTGCGGGCAAGCCCAGGGGACAGGCCCTGCGGAGCCCACGCTGCGCCACCCGCAGCAGCCCCAGAGCCCAGGACGAGAGGCGGCGGCACAGTGTGCGTGCACGAGCATCTGTGTGTCTGCAGAGCCCCCTCAGGAAGGAGTGAGGACACCAGGAGACAAAGCAGGGCCGTGAGACAGGCTTATCCACCCCCGATCAAATGCAAAACGTAAGGATTACCAAGACCACCTCTAAGTGAAAGAGGGTCCTGGCCCTGCCCCCGCAGAGGGCCGGAGTTCACGCACAACGCAAGGGGCGGGGGAGGCCCGAGGCCGCACCCTCGGGCGGCAGGACCCGGGGTAGGGGGCCTGGCCCTGGAAGGCGGGGCCAGAGACCTGGCCCCCAGCACCCACCAGCTTAAAGCACAAAGGAACACACACTCTGAACAGGCCTACGGCGAGTGAGGGAACCAGACCGGTCGCCAAAGTCCCCGGGCCGCGTGGCCTGGCTGCTGACACGACACCCGTCCTGCCCATCCTTCTCGGCCCCAAAACCTGAAAAGCAGGGGACACCTCCTGCTCACCCATGAGGTCAGTGTAACCCTGACACCAAAGCCAGAGAAGAGACACTGCGAGGACTGGAAACCACACACCAGTGCCCGTTACGGACACTGAG